AACTATTGATTTGATGACTAATTTGTTGAATGGATGACCACATCTTGACTTGATGACAACTATTGATTTGATGACTAATTTGTTGAGTAGATGACCACATCTTGACTTGGTGGCAATCCTTATCTTCTTGTCTAAATAAAACATCATCGATAATGTTAGAATTTGAATCAACCTTTCCCATAAAAGTTCTAGAAAATTGTCTTAGGTTTTCAGAAGAAAAAAAATTGAGGTTATTTGAACTTCTAAAACTCGAGATATAAGCTAAATAATGAATAGTGTCCGAGCTACAAGACAGATTCAGACTTCTACATTGTTGCTAAGATTTGGACTTCCAAACAGTATAATTGAGTCTTAACTTACACATGAAAGTTTTAGGCCTATGTCTTAGCTTTCCATCCATATAAAGCAAACCTAAATTTGAGATCTACAGCTCTAGATATGACCTAATTACCGAATAGTGTTGTAGTTTGGACTACACCAGCATCTATTTTCTAAGTTTGGCCCTCTCTTTGTCCTTTCAATTTCAATACTTCAACTTATCAATCAATCCTTTTATTTATGTGATAATTTATGTGATAGGCCTACATTTAGGATGAACATTTACCATAAATTAAAGGTATCTTATGGTATTAGACTTGTTATTATAAAACATGCTTTAGTTAAGGAGTTATTAACACTTCAAGTGCAGAATAATGATATAAAACCTTGATAAAAATATATTTTTAAGTACTTATCATAATCTATGCCAATGCATAAGCCTACTGTAATGATTGTGGATTAAGCATGTGAATTGCAATATAGATTTTCTTTTATAATCCTTTTAAAAAACAATTGTTTAGTGTCCATCAAGCAAACCTTTAACTTTGATAAAAATCAATTTGAACTAGGATTTGTAAGTCGACATTTCAGCTTGAAGAATTTGAGTCAAAGCTTTGAAGAATTTGAGTCAAAGCTTTGAAGAATTTGAGTCAAAGCTTTTATTGGGATACCTCTAGTTTCTAAAATCATGGATTTTGAAATTGCCTTCCTCAATTGATTACAAACCCTTCCATGGTCTTCCAACATCAGGAGATATAGGGTTTTGAAATTGCCTTCCTCAATTATTGCCGATCACGTTGACATGTCATATCCAATCTCTCTTCTTATTCAATCACACAAAATCCATCTCATCAAAGAAGAATGGCTTCCACCCAGAGGGAGAAGCTCTGCTCTCTTTTTTAGCTTTTGTAATTAAAGTTGAATACAACCTAATTATACACAAAACACAGCCTTAAAAACTTTTTTTTTTTTTTGGTTTTTTCCAACGTTTTTAGTAGATCCCATACACAAAACTCAATTTCAACCTCCAAAACAAACACACCTTTAAGCGTTTCATTCCAACAACCAAATAATAAAACTATTCCACCTTCATGGCTTAAAAAAACTGTTTATTTATTTATTTATTTATTTGATAAAAAAGACTTTAAATAATAAATCATTTATAGTATCTTTTTGCTGGCTGAGTTCACACATTCCTAGTTATATCATGTAAAATTACATTATTAACAATAATATATAAAATGTAATATATAGCTTTGGATTTTACGACTGATCAGGCTAGACCATGCCCAATTTTTGTACCCCTATGTCCGCAAAATCCTATACCATGGAAATTTTACGCCAGCGAGGTTCCTTTATGCATACTTATTACATGGTTCGTTGTTGCAAAATTGCTAATCAACAACTTGGCTGTATATAAAATATGCCACAAGAACACAAATAGCAAATCAGCTGACACTTAGCAGCTCGAGTTTTAGATTACTAAAGTAACTACACATGATGAGAATTTTCTCCTTCCAGCTTGCTCCAATGCTACGGAATTTAGTCCATTTATCTGACTGCAATATCAGCTTTCTATTTCTGCACAGAAATACCGAGAGTTCTCATGCTCTAAATGGGAGGAAATAGAGCCATAACTCAAGAAGCAAGACCAAAAAATGTTGAACTTGATTATGCATTGCTAACGGGGTTGCTTTTGTTCACAGTTTGGAGCTCCATTGGAGAATTTGTGATGCTTCCAACAGAACCAAGGGTTTGAGAGCTCAACTGTGGACTAGCGGGGCAACCCTCTGGATTACCAGCACTGATGGCATGGATTGCTCCTGAACTCAACTGTGGGCTCATTGGGGTCCGTTGGCTCATTTGCTGCGGGCTGGGCTGTTGCTGGGGTTGCTGTTGTTGGGTTTGATGGTTCAGTTGTGGAATTCCCATGGTTGCCGGTGACCCTATTTGTAAAGGTGAAACAACAGACTGTAGCGATGAAGAAGTTGAAGTTGTTTCTTGCTGCAGCTGCTGCTGCTGCTGCTGCAGAAGCAGCTGTTGACGTTGATGGTGCTGCTGTAACTGTTGGTGCTGCTGCTGCTGCTGCTGCTGTAACTGCTGCTGCTGCTGCTGAAACTGTTGCTGCTGCTGCTGCTGCTGTAACTGCAGTTGCTGCTGCTGTTTATGTAATTCCAGTTGCTGTTGCTGGTTCATGTAGGGATTCATCCCAGTCATCAACTTTGGTGGACCCATAGGCCCCATTGGACTTCGTTGCATTAGATTCATGTTGGCTCGGTTAAGAGATTGACCCAGCAGGGGAAAACCAGCAGAGCCCGAGTGCATCTGTCTGGCTCCTGACATCCCGGCTATACCAGACTGAGGGCCCCCTATCATGCTTGCTGGGCTCATTCTTTGTTTTATCGTCAGAGCAGCTGCAGGAGTCATGTGTCCACCACGAAGTTGCTGACTTATTGTGTTGATATTTGCAGTCTGACCCAGATTCATCGGAGTCTGGCCAACATTACTCATGCCAGTTATAGAAGCCATAGGTCCAGAGTTTCCTGGTCCCATTCCCCTTGCACCTCCAATGCCCGCAGCATTGCCCGGACCTCCTAGGTCAACCATGTTATTCACCATGTTTCCCATACCCATAGCTCTTCCAGGTCCCATCATCATTTTCCTCTGCTGCATTTGTGGCTGCTGCTGCTGCTGCTGCTGTTGTTGTTGCTGCTGCTGCTGCTGCTGCTGCTGTTGTTGCTGCTGTTGCTGCTGCTGTTGATGCTGCTGTTGTAACAGCTGGAGCTGAAGAGAAGACCTGTTTACCAAGTGACCACCCAACTGCATGTTTGAATTTGGTCCAATTGCACCTAAATGAGAGAGTGAATTTGATGGAAGCACCATTTGTGACCTCTGAAATTGTGAATTTTGTTGATGCATTAAAGCATGTTGATTTTGCTGCTGCTGCTGCAGAAGAGAGTGTTGTGGGTCTAGCTGTTGTGGTCTTGCAGGCACTGATACTCCAGACACAAGACTCTGAGGATTTCCAGGAGGTAGCATCCTTGTATTTGCTAGTAGATTGTGGGAAGAATTAATGGATGCATTACTGCCAAGAGTTGGCTTTAGATCATTGCATGGCTGAACTGGTACTGCTTCATTGTATTGCTTCACCTCAATTGGTGAATTATTATGAGGGCCTCCAGAAACATTTGGTTGATTGCTTGAAGCAATATTAGTGCAGATAGGTCTTGGTTGAATATGATCTTCCACAATATATCCTTCACGCATCATCTGGTAAAGCCAATTGCATTACTTAAATTCAATTGCAAAGAGAAGAGATAATCTGAAATCTGAGTTTCTGGGCAAGAAATCATTTCCTTCAAGACGTACCAGTGAAAACAATTGTGTTGCAAGCAAATCCGCAAAATGCTGCAACATATATCAATCAGATAAGTAAATTAGACAAATAATCATGCTTGAAGTATAAGCAAATATTGATGTGACAAACAAAATTGTACAATACTATGAAAACTGAAGAATTGTCAGCCCACACATCAACTATTAAGTCAAACTGCCACAACAAATCTTTCTGATTGATGAAGCCATGCTCACAAGAATGATCAAATGAAGTCCAATACTTATTACTAAAGTTTGTGAGAAAGGACAAACTCAAGAGTATAAGCAAATCCAGAGAGTAACAGCAATATACTCAATGAAGCAGCAGCAAATGAAAGGGTCAAAAAGAATCCTAGCTTAATTAACAGTGGATGAGGTACAAGTATGGCAAATGGCAATGCAACTGGAAGATACTAATATGAGAATATAAAAGCTGAAATATCCATAATCCATAACCCAGTGTCTACTGGATGTGAAAATTAGGAAGATGCAGTGTCCACTGAAATTATAAGCGAGACCTTATTAGAATAGACCTCCATTATATCCAAATCCAACAAATGAAATTTGTACACCACTTACAGTATTGGGCAACGTAGGAAGATAATCTTCTGCAGATAGAACATCAAAGTCATCTGCTTCTCCATAATGCATCACCACAGTACCATCATTTGGCTTTTCTGACATGATCATTTTATTCCGTACCCTTTGAACATAAGAAACAACATTCCCTGCAGAAGCAACACAAAAGGGATACATAAATATTGTCAAAGGCAATAGACTATATTTTTCATCAATAACACAACAAACCTTGAAGTACTCGTTCTGTTATTATGAAATCCATAAATCTTGTCTTGCAGATATTCATATTGCCACCTACAAGAGACTTTGATAACTGCCTTGCATTAGTATCATCTTTGAACTCCTCATTACTGGTTGAATTGGAGAGATGATCAGACAGATTTTGAAGTGTATAGGTCTTTGGTTTCCTGATAGGGTAATCATCAACTTTATTCTTTTTGCAGTTGAGTTGATGCCTGGAACAGAAGCAATTGGAAAATGAATAACAAGAAAAAGATATAACAATGTCATTGGACTTCTAAGAGAAACATAAATCAAGATGTTCTCACCCAAAAGATATCAAGCTGACAGAAAGGGAAAAGGTTTTGCTTTTTGATACCATTAAATTGCATAAAAAATGAGGGTGCTGCCCCCCAGCTCACTCGTCCCGCCCCCAACATAACAATAAAGAGAAATGTAGTGTGCGTGTGTGTGCACATGCATGTGTGAGAGAGAGAGAGAGAGAGGTTAAAAAAGAAGAACTATGAAATGATGGATCAAATATGGATTTTCCTAGCATGAAGTAGAATTGATTGATGCTTAGTAAAAGGAAAGAAAATCTGATTAACCCAGGCTCTCTGTGGAATGACATTTAAGCTTTAAACAGTCTGAAGGTAGGATTACAGTAACTACAAATTTATACATTAAAGGAAAGAGTGACACATAAAAGAATAATGGGATGGTACATTAGTAAACCTTTTATACCTCATAGTCACCATTTCAATCTTTGCAAATCTTTCAAGCATGCTTTGATCAGCCATAGGTGGGGTCCCAATTGAAGGACTATTTGCATTTAACAGAATGCTTGTATTGCTGCCACTTGCTGGAGACCCCACATTGCTCATTACCAGGGTTTTAGGAAGGGAATTCAATCTCCGTTTTGCAGCAACTTGAACCTGGTGCTGCCTTTGCAAGGAATCATTAGCACTGGAAGTCAAAGATGGGGTTCCACCAACAGCAGCAACCACTGACTTCTCCTTTTGTGATGACCCAAGTGCAGCAGTTGCTGCAGCTGCTCCAAAATGGGGTCCAGCTGAACCACTAGACAATTCCCCGGATTTCGATGATAGAGGTGATTGAGCTAAACCCCCAGTAGATAACCTAGGACTTTGTGCTGGTTTCCTTTTCTGGGGCTGTTCCTCCTTCCTACAATCTTGGCTGAGATTGTTCCATCCAGCCTGAGGGAAATTGGATCTCATGACAGGTTGTGGTAATCTTTGCTGTAACCATGGTTGCTGTGTTTCCAAATGGCCTGTTTCTGTTTCCATCATCTGCATATCATTTTTACCCTGACTAAGCACTGAACCATCCAGTTTTTCTGTCTCAAACTGTTCTTCCTTGAGACCATGTCTCATACCTGGATGTCCTGCAGCAAATGATGTTGCTGCAGCATTTTGATGTACAACCCCTTCTAACATCTGGTGTGCGTACTTCTGAGTGCCTACATTGGCATACTGAATTCCTCTTGTCATTGCTTGCTGCTGTAGTAGTGAATTCTTCCGGTTTATTTCTGATTCATGGAGGCCATCCATATGCAGACCCCTTTGCTGCTGTTGAATTACATCAGGACCTGCTGGTGTAAGCCTTGGTCTCTTACTAAAACTAGATAAAGGTGACATTTGTGCATCTTGGTTCTCCCTCTTCCCAAGAAGAGCGGCAGAATTCATGGTGCAGTGAGCAACCATCTTGTCCTGGCCGAAGGCGGCAGCTCCGGAAATGTTGGCAGGAGACCCTGACCCTTGATCCTGCATATTTCTTGGGGAAATCCTCATTTGATACCTCTGTTGCTGGGATACCAAAGGTAGTGTTGGAACATTGCCATCTGGAGCAAAGCTTCTTGCACTTAAGGCCATCATGCTGCTAGGGCCAAGGTTTTGAGTTGTCTGATTCTCCTGAACATGCTGTGGCATCACATTGCCTGAAATGATTCCTGAATCTCCAAGCCTACTGTTAGAGCTTTCAGGCACTCGGTTGATGCAAGTATTTGTTCCATGGATTCTGTTCGTAGATGTGACAGTAACTTCAGGTGTCTGCCTTAATCTGTTTCTGCGAAAACTTCTCAGATCTAAATTGAGCTGCAAATGACATTCAGCAGGGTTGAGAAATATATAACTAATTCCTTCAGCCATAGAACATTATTTAACTCTCTAAATATAGCACCTTGGTTGAAATTGAACTATTACAGAGCCTGTCCAATTTGGGAGTAGGATCTAGAGAAAGCTGTGGTTGCAATGCTTTCAAAATCCGAGATTCTACTTCCTGCAGCAAAAAGTGAAGGAAAAAATGCAGTTCAATTGATTTTCTAGATTTATTTTCTGATGAATGAGTTCAACACACTTACCATCAAATCACCATACGTCCAAGAATTATCAGAGATCAATGGGATATCCTTCACTACATTCTCCAATGACATCCTAAGGCATACTTTATTTACAATAGGGAGCCCATCCATAAATGGAACGCTAGACCCCTGCTTGGAAGCGCATTTCCGATAATCACGCACCTGGAAATGTTTACAGATTAGCAAACTCTGAAACCTCCAAATGCATGAGCTTCAATAACTTCTTGCTCTCCACACATGTGAATGCATGCTCACATGAAATGCTCAAGTGAATTTAAGTGATTACTCAAAGCATTCATAATCATTATTCCAGTTTATAAATATAAAAAGGACCAAGCATAACACCAATTAGTAAAGATAAGTGACTATATTTGAATTGCTTACCTCGCATACAAGTGTTCCATTTACATATTTACATGGAATATCATCTAGAATATCTCCAGGCAACCGGCCAGACTCAATTGCCTCAAAATACATGCACACATAAACAGCAGTAAGTCAGTTTAAGAAAGTTTACAGTGAAGTTGAAATCCAAAGAGCAATTACAAAGCAGACAACATGATTTGTTAGGTAAATAGGAAAACTGCCTCATCAATGGATTTTAGAAACTTAAATGGGGTAGTTATGATGACGAAGAAGTTCCCTGAGCTGATCATGTAATCTGAATAGTCTGTGTAGAATTAATCAAGCTGAGCAGTAAATGAATCTACATAATGCATCTTACTTGCAACAAATAGGTTAATTAAAAGAGCAATGGATAAGTTCCAAAACATGTCATACAATATATGCATTACTGCACCAAAATGTCTGATCTAGGTGCTCCATGCATAAAATTTTCAATTTGAAAATAAAAAATCAAAATAAAATCCCTCACAGATGAGAAGAAAAGTATAAGTTGATATTTACTGAAAAGAGCGTTTCAGAAGTCTTATCATATGGATGCAACAACTTCTGACCATCTTGAAGTGGAGCCTGATGAGCAGCCTCTATCTGAAAACATATGAACTACTTGGACTTACACTTTAACATAAAGATGGTATGGAAATAGATTTTTTTTCCTTTAAGTCACTTTCTTAAAATTTTGTGCAGAATTAACACTTTTCAGACTAACCTCTGAGGGTTTTCCTATAGAATATCCATCTGGATAGAGATTCAATGTCAATGAAACTTCATGTCCTGGAAGAATAAGAGACAACCAAAAGAACTCAGAATGTAAACTTGATAGAATATACTAGAAAAATTGAATCAATCCAACATGCAGATATGCTAAGTGCTTTACCAGAGAAGGATAAACTTGAGACAGCTAATGCATCCTCAGCACCCTCAAAGATGTCAGCCTACTTCACAGAACACCATAGATTATGGTATAGAAAATACAGAGCAAGGGATAAAATATAACATCCATACCACCCCTTAATTCACACCCAGTAATTTAAGGGCTTTCAATCAACAAGACAGCTTCACCATTGCTATAAATTGAAAAGTGAGAAGGATAATAATTAAGGAAGCAAAAAAAGACCACCATCTAATCTAATAACACTGATATTCACAGAAAACAAATTGTTTTAACTTTCCATTACCATCTCTTACTGTCTGTTTGGAACCAAATCACATGTTAAATTGAAGAGGAAAAAAAAAAGAATGGCGGCATGCACTACATATCATTTGGCAACATAACTTTATTTCAAGCCCATCGGGAATTACCAGAAATTGAGGTTTATCACATCGACAACCACTTCAATTCATTAGATTACAATACATATATTGTTGGAAAAGTTTCTCAGAGTTCTAGGCATGTAAGAAAGACAGAGGACAGAATCAAGGGTCAATGCTTTACTTCAAATAACATCATACTGAAAAGATCTGATAAGCAAATAATTATCCACGGACAAACGGAAAAAATCCAAACAATGATAACCAAAACAAAGCATATAATTAATCTTCAAATCAGTTGCAATGAGAATGTCATAAAACAAAAGAAATTAAGATTTTAGAATCTGAAAAATTACCCTCCTGAAAAGTAACCAGTTTCTTTTATTTAACTAAGCTAAATTGAGATTTGAATGGCAATTCGTTATGAAATCTAACATCATCCAAAATACACAATCAATTTTGAACTTTTTATTTTAATTCTCACTCGATTTTTTGCTCCTCGATCGAGAAGAGTAACCAAGTTGCCAAAATTACCTCGCCCTTTCTCGTAGATGATTCGTTCTTTGAGCCAATCACCGAGCTCTCTCTGGAATTTTCTGAGACCTCATCAAAAACAGTATCTGATTGAACAGAAGGTTTTGGGCGGAACCTGGTACCAATTTTTGAGACCTTAAAAGAAAAGACCCCCATCTAGAATTTTAATTCTTCGTAGTGCTAGGATCATACGAATAGTGAAGGAAAATCTGGGAAAGTATTTTAGACTTTTCAAGAGAAACCCGTACTGAATTCCTAGAGAATTCAAATTCTTTTATGGTGTTTGGATTATAAGAAAGTCAAGAAAAAACACGGAAGGAGTGAGGAAAGGAAGAGACTTTGAATGCAAGTTAAAGTCTTTTGAGAGCTGAAATAAAGTATCCAAGCTGAGTTCTTTGAGATTTTGAGTGCTTCATGTAAATACCCGGATTTTGTTTTCTTCCCTCACTTTCTGGGAAAACTGAGGTTTTAAAGTGGTGTTTGGATGCTGAGAGCGAAAGTGAAGGAAAATGTAAGACGGTGGTAGTAGAATATAGTATCAATAAAAGGCACAAACCTAAACTGAAATACCTAAATGGATTCCTATTCGGTACTTGTTTTTTTAAAAAAAATTAAAATTTATAAATTTAAAAAATTATTTTTTATTTATTTTAAATTAATATTTTTTTATGTTTTTGATCATTTTAATATATTAATATCAGAAATAATTTTTAAAAAAATAAAAAAATATATTTTTTTATAATTATTAAAGTGAAAAAATTTTGAGTGATATCAATTTTCAAGGAGGTTAATCCTCATTAATATTATAATAAAAATATATACCTATAACACTTTATAGAAAACAATTTTACTAGTACAACAATTATGGGTTTAGAATTTCTTAAAAATAAATAATTCACCTCTATCTTTATAAAAAAAATAGAGGATTATCCTATCTAAATAACATAAATATTATTTAGACCATTCAAATAAAATAAGTGGTTTAAAATTTTTATTTTTAAAAAATAAATACTTTTTGAGTGTTAGAATATTTATTACATCAAAACAATAATAATCACTTTTATTTTTAAAATTTAATTTTTCTTAGTGTATTCATTATTTCTTTCCTTTTAAAAATTATTAACTTTATTATTGAATATTCTTAAATTTCTCAAAAATAAAAATAGGTAGAAGTAGACACTCATTCATAATTCGTAGAATAATTTCTTATATAGTGAAGAAATGAATTTTTGAACAAAAACTTTTGATTGACCTATAAACCAACCATTAAAATATTGTATTCTTAAATATATTGAAATTTGAAATTTCATTAAAAAAAATAATTAGAATTTGGCTATACGAACCTAGAGAGTGAGCTAAATCAAGATAAATATTATATACTATCAAAACAAAGAAAAAAGAGTAGAGGTTGCACATTGTGAGAGAAATAATTAATGAATAAATTTATGATCATTTCGTTATCTTAGGAACATATAGAGCTAAGTAAACATAATAAAAATACTAAAACATAATGTTTCTGTTTTTTTCTTTCGAATGATAATGTCCTCAAACTGCAAAGGTTCATTTGAATCCACGAAATAAGAAAAACACCACCTGCGAACTGTTCTTGCTGCGTGAGTTCTGTAGAGATAAAAACAAGAAATAGCAGTCAATTCTGTTCGGCTGGAATTTCGAGGGGGTAAATTGCTCGAACATGAGGATGGTTCGAAGCAAAGGCTCCGGGATTTACATTTTTATTGACCAGGTCCACCATACAAAGATAACGTTTAGGGCTAAAATATTAATGGGTCCGAAACCATTTTAGGCTCAATGCTTTACTGGATTTAAGACGGATGACGTGATTTCCAAGAAGCATATTTGACCTGATTAGCACGTAACACACTGGTTTCATATCGGATAAAGAGACAGGCCTCCTAGAAGGCACAAGCTTTAACACGAGCAACCATGGAGGCACAGCGCACAGGCGTAGACAAGAAAAGCTTGTATCAAACACACACATTCCAGACCTGAAAATCCACATACCTCGAAACAAATCTTAAAAAAAAAATCTCATACAACAGACAAGGGCCGAGATACTCAAACGGTTTAAAGCATACTGCTGTCATCTTAAATAGGCAACTCCCTCTGATAACCAAGATCCCTCATCCCTACATCATAGAGAACACTCATCCCTACATGGTAGAAAAGGAAAAACATACATGTATACATCCACACAAATGGCAAACATATGATGATATAAATATGCGGGTTGGTAACCACCTCAGCCGGATAAAGAGAAAACAGAAGGGCTTCCTAATTGCTGAGAACTGAAATAACACTGGCAAAGGCAGGAAATAAAGGTGCCATGTGGCGTCAGCTTTTATTGTTACTGATAGTACATGAGTTGCTGGGCAGCAGCAACATTCTGGAAACCACCATCATATATTGCCTGGCTTGCTCCGGCACCCATTCCCATAGCTTGTTTTAGAGGAAGCTGCCCATGAGGAGGCATAAAGGCATGGACACCACCCATCTTGCTCAATGCTAGCTGCCTCTCATATGCCAAGATATCCGTAGCTGAGATCCCAGGCAAAGGCGCAGCAGCAGGTGGGGGTAGTGGATTTGAGCTTGTCCCTGGCGGAGTGGGCTTGCTACCCCATGAGCACTATAAAAATGGGCAAAAGTATTTAAAAGTCTATTTCCAAGGGAGAAAAAGAGTGTGTTATTGTTCAATCATTACAACACACTCTTTTTACCTAGATAATAAATGAGAATAACACAATCGAACATACCTTTATTTGTTTACCACAAAGAAGTGATTGGGCATTTCCCATCTGAATAGCTAAAGCTGCCTCAGCATGAGTACTGAACCTCACAAACCCAAAACCTTTGTCTCTCTGGACTCGGACCTCCTCAATAACTCCAGCACCAAGAACATGAAAATGGCGGTGGAGAACAGGCTGAGTTACCTGGCAATTGATTGAACATAAGAAGTTTAAAAAAAAAAAAAAAAACACATCGGATTTTTCTAAGATTTTCCAAATTCTACCATTCTCCTAGACATAATAGATACAGCAAAGAGCATTTTGAAAAAGACAATCAAATGGAGATGCATGCCCAAACAATGTACAAATTGCAAGAACATGCAGATAGGAAGAAAAGTTTCTTGCCTCTGGAGAAAGATTGCCCACATAAACAGTGGTATACTGAGGATTGTTTTCAGGAGCCTCATTATTTGGTGCCTCCATGCCATCCTCTGCACAAGAAAAGTAGGAATAATTTACCATCTTAGTTGTTTCGCAAAACCAAAGGAGAGTAACAAATCATAGAGCAACCTGTGAACAACCATGAAAATGAGATAACAGATCAAAAGGAATTATTTCTGTTACAAAAGTATGAGATGTTGAAACAATCCAGAAGCTTACGGCAATTCACCACATTCTATGAGAAAATAATGGTGATCCACACCCATCTTTGGAGATAAAGCATTATACATCTACTGCTGATTCTCAACATTTAAAAACTTGCAAAACTGACCTGATGTGCCATTTGTTAGTTCCACCACACTTTTTGAATCAGAACTTTGTTTGTCTTCATTGGAACCAGCACCTTTAGATGCCCAGTTGCAACGAATCTGTCTACTACCGAGCCACTTTCCTGCAAGCCAGGTGACCGTAAGCAAGCATATCCAACAGAATCGTAATGATTTCGGTTGACAAACTTCCCCACTTCAGAAAATCAATCACATATCACTAGATTGTACAACCTTATGATGTGTAACTAACTAATTAACTTTTGTTTATGCTGACAGCTATGTTAAAAACCTCCAGGAATAATAAGTGTATTGATTCATGTCTTGTGCGCATAATTTCATGCAGGCACCAAATGATTACCAAATTCTCCTTCCTAGGACCTCAAATTTAGGGGGACAATATCAGTAATGACCATTTCAGAGAAAGAATGAAAACTAGTACAAATTCCAGCACTGCATCCCAAAATGCTAAACTTTCCCAGCAACAACAAAGAGGAGTACATAACTCAGCTCCTTTCCATTTTCAGTCATTGGCAATTTGATTAAGTAGAAATGCAAATTAAGAATGATGGGAGTGTAAGTATCACATTCTTATTCCACTTCTAAATTTGATTAACTAGAATAAATTTCATTCTAAATTTTTTCCATTATTTGTTGAAACAGTTATCTTAATACACCGTACTTAGGAAACAATCACCCCTAAACCATTAAACAATTCTTCTGAGGACCATCATCCATACCTGTTAGGTCATTTATCGCACTCTGGGCATCCTGAAAGGAAAACAATGTCAGAATCATGATAAATAAAAAATTACAGAAAAAGATGTGCACTAAATGAATACAATACCTGTTGATTTCGGAAGGAAACAAACCCAAACCCTCTTGAACGCCCAGTCTTCTGATCCCACATAACCCTTGCGTCTCTGAAACCAGAACAAGGTTAGTTACAGTGATCAGCTTTGTAACACCAATGAAATGAGATGATAAACCATCAAGCAAGCATTTTCCAACTTTTTAACTTTATGTTTTCAACAACTTAAGACATGAAAACACTGAGATCAACAAAGGTGGACACAGGCAGAGAGCAAGACAGGGAGGGAGGAGAAACTTACGAACAACTGGGATAAACAGAAAAGCAGGCATACAATGTTGCATCAGTAACCTCAGGACTAAGATCTCCAACAAAAATGTTGAAGTGACCTGCACAATGAAATGATGTCCATGTTTATACATGCCAATATATCTAAAATGAGCATAAAATTTAGAACATAAAAAAAGAGGTAACCTGACGTGTCTTCCCTCTGACCACTAGCATATGCCCAGTTAACTTTGATAGGCTGACCAAATCTGCAAAGAGTGCAGTAATAAGATGCTGAAACAATTTAAGCTAGAGTGTGGAGGATCGGTACAAATGTAAAATAATTCACCGTCAAAAGTGAGCTACTCACAGATGCCTTCCATTAAGAGATAATATAGCAAGCGCAGCTGCTCGGCGATCAAAGTAGTGAATAAATCCATAGGATGACTGCAAATGTGGAGACACTGGAGATGTCAAAAATAGCAGACAAGCTTACAAACTACATGAAATAGTAAAAAATAGAAACATACAACAAATAGATCCTTTCCATTTAGCATACAATATCTCAGACTTAATTTACACCACTGAAATTTTTTTTACCTTTTCTTTTCTGATAAGCTTGCATCCTTCAACGGGACCAGTACTCGCAAAAACCTCTTGGAGGAGGGGTTCAGTTACCTGAGTGTGGATGTTTCCCACGTACCTGCATTTTTTTCAGAAGTAAAGAAACTAGAAGTTTTAAAAAAAGAAGAAAAAAGGAAAATAAATAAACATATAAGTAACCTTCCTCAATTAGAAAAAACAAAATATAGCAGATAATTGGTCATCAGACTATTAACGCAATTTAAGTTAAAATTGAAGAAAAGCATAAATAAGTATTACTTTTAAAAGATTATTTTTTTAAAAAAAAGAAAGAAATTCAGCCAAGGAAGATACTATCAGTAAGAAAGTAGAAGCGGTGGGCAGTTGCATGCGCAAACATGTAAAAAGAA